GTCTCGCCCAGCCGCCGATACGACCATCGTCCATGAACGAGAATGAGACGCTGTAGGAATCGGAACTGACCGATGGCGTAATCGGCACACATGACTGCCTGACGACCTTCCTCTCCTGCAATACCTACACCGACATCCGCTTTTTGGATCATGGCGACATCGTTGGCGCCATCTCCAATCGACAAAGCCATGATGTTCAAACCAGTCTTGACCATATCAACAACCGCCGCTTTTTGGGCGGGACTGACACGGCAACAAAGGACGGACTTGCAGCGCCGGCAAAGCAACAGGAATTTCTGCCTCAGGGCATCGTCCAACATCAAACGAAGACAGTCCCCATCGAGGACAAGGGCATGGGTCAATGGGGGTGGCGAGTGGTCCTGGCGTGCCGCGGCTAATTCCTCGTCCGAGCCAGTAATTCCGAACTGTTCGAGTTTGCTGTCCAGCTCCTTGGCAGCCATATCAGAATCTGGAGCACTCAATACCATGATATCCATGTCGTTGTTCAGAAGGTTGCAGGAGTAACCGATATTGATGGCCGTTTCGATCTTATCACCTGTCAAGACCCAGAGCTTGATACCGGCATCAGCCAACAAAGAGATTGTATCGGGCACACCATCCTGCAGCCGATCTTCGATTGCCGTGCCACCCAGGAGCATCAGATCCTGTTCAATAATACCTGCGACCTCATCCAGTTTCTCTTCGCGATCCACAATGGCTGCTGCTGCCACGTCGTGCTTAAGACTCCACTCGCGGTAGAATTCCTCGTCGAGAATACGTTCTGCCACGCAGAGCACACGGAGACCTTCTTGAGCGAAGGTCTCAAGGTGCTGTGAGGTGACATCCCTCAACTGCCGTTGTTGACCAGGAGCCAAGCGAGAGTAAACGACTGTGTCAGCGCCCTTACACAACAGACGGATGGTTCCGTCCGGCATTTGAACGATAACACTCATTCTCTTACGCGTAGAGTTGAACTCCAAGATGTTCAGAATTCTATAACTGCGTTCTTCACCCATGATGTTAACAAGGAGCCTATCTCCCGAGCGACCCATCGCTGTGAACCCACAGTCTCGAGCAGTAGCCACCAAGGCGGCCTCATCGGGAGACTGGGCTTTGAACTCAATTTGCGGGGGATCACCCGGAATCCGTTCCGTAACCACTGTGTGACACAAAGCCAGCGCGGCCATGAAACTCTCGACAGCCTGCTTCTGAGCATCACCGGACGCACCCCCTAGGTCCGCTGCGTACTGAGGCGAGACAAAGGTCAGATTTTCGTCCTTGAGATATGGGTTGTCGTGCAGTTGACGCAGTCGCTGCAGCATTTCCACGCGACCGTCGCTGATACGTTGGCGAGCCTTGGCAGCTTCCTCCTCCACATTCAACAACCCCTGTCGTCTCTGCATTCCCAATTGGGCCTCAGTATAGGCCTCACCGTATGCGACGCCGTTGACCGTACATTTCTTGAACTCCATGACGTTTTGCGTCAAAGTACCTGTTTTATCCGAGAAGATATACTCGATCTGCCCGATGTCATCTGATATGTTCCAGGCCTTTGGGACGCAAGACATCTGAAGCCGCTCGTAATACATGTGCTGGTCGAAGAATATAAAGAGCGCTTGGATCCAGCGCACGATTTCCAGTGAGATGTACAAGGCAATGGGAACCAAGTTCTGAAAGAGAACCACACCCACCCAGAAGGCAACGACACCCTCCACAGCGGGGGATCCACCATAAGAGCCGTATTCGAAGAAAGTTAAGGACGCGTCATCCAGTCCCCAGGCAAAACCGTTGATAAAACCGGATATCAAGCACATGATAAAGAGGATCGCAAAGTTGTAAAGAACGTTCCAGTTCATGTTACGTGCCATTTGTGGTCGCTTAGTCGGAGTGATACCCTGATTCAGCATGATCTTTGATTCCGAACCGGTGAACAAGGCCACACCCAATGCCCACTCTGTGTTCTGAAGGCTGCAGCCACGGAGGAGAATATTGTTTATGGTGATGGGCTCTACCTGTTCCTGGGGCGGCGCCTCGGGATCGTCCTGTTGGTTATAGTAAATGGCACCGCTGAACGAATAGAGATTCGCATGCGGGGGAGGGCTTTCTATAACGAATTCCGCTCTTTCACAGTCGCGAGCATTCCGTACTGCGCGACCACAGTTAAGAGCATGGCGAACCTTCAAATTGGTCTCCCCGTCCAGGTTTTTGGTTTCCACATAGCAGGCACCGTCTGGGTCAGAGGTTGAGAGAATCACCATGTCCGCGGGAATCTGGTCACCGTTGTACAGCCGCACAAAGTCACCGACGTTGACATCCTTCCAATGTTGACGCTTAAAGCGAGCCTGCCCGGAAGCAGTCTTGGTCGGATTGAGGATGTCGCCCTTGACGCGGCCCGAGGCCGCATTTCTGCCGGAATGATCTGCATGATCCGGCCAAACTCCAGAAGCACGGGCATCGAGGGACACGGCCCTCAACTCAATCGGAGAGGTGGGTTCCACGGATGGCCGGGCATCCGCCATCTCAACATCTCCAGCCACGTCTTTGTCGGCGGACTTGCGGCGCACGAGCTTTTTCATGGCACGGTAGGTGAATACGGTGGCCCGAGTACAGGCCTTTTTGAACTTTCGCCAGGCGGACACATTGTCAAGGGTGGCATTGACATTGTGCCAATCGGTCAGACGGTAAACCGGGGAATTGTTGAGTTCGTTATCGGATACCGTTCGCCTCCAGTCCTCGATAGCATCCTTGATCGAAGTGACCACGACGATAATGATCAGGGGAACAGCACTCAGGCCCGGGTCGGCATCTCCGAAGATGGAGAAACACTGCAGAATGATGACGAATAAGAAGTAAAGATTAGCGATGTTGTGGAACTGCAACCACAAGTTCTTCGGGATGAACGTCAATGGCGTGTAGATAGAAGTGCGAATCTTGTTGCGGGGATAAACGTTCTTCAGATTGCCTTCCTCGTCCCGCTCGCTGTCCGGGATGGGAAGGTTAAAGTAGACTTTCCGCGACGAAGCTGTTTCTGTTTCATTGCTTTCTGGCCCTGCGGTTGCTGCATCAGTTATGCTGTTCCGCGTATTACGACGGTTGCCCCGTTCCAGGATGGAGACTCTCTTCCGAAGACCGCTGGCGGCGGTCATGCGTTTTGTCGCCCATCGTGCGCGCTTGGTGGATTTGGCTTCCTGGTCGGGAATCGGAGGAACCTCGTCGGAGGCCCGACTCAGTTCCTCGTCCCCTTTCCCTTGTATGGGATCCATTTACAATGGGTTAAATTCCCGGACTATGTTCAGCGGCGGGCGGCAATCATCGGATCGGTTAGGACGGAGGGACCCTGCGTGAGGCGGCCACGCAGGCCTTCGGGGAGTAATCGCAGCCGCGCAGTTAATTGACCGGATGACGAAGGATAGCGGATTCGAGACAGGGAGCAGAAATTCGTCGCGATAGTCTGCTCCAGACCCAGTCGCTTCTTCGAACCTGACGAACGGCGGGGAGGACAGGCGGGGGGGAAATGGTCGTTCGCGAGATCGCAACGATCGGAGGGTTCGGCGAGGGTAGCAGAAAACCAAGTGTAGCGGAGCTGGCAGGGTAGATCAAGGGCGGACGGGGCTTGACGCGCGTATCGGGAGTGGGTGAGCGACGCGGGAGGTATCGAGGGGCAGTCGAGCGTCAGCAACAGTAAGATGCCAGGAGGTGGAATGCGGAGGGAGGGAGGTGGAAGGAGTCAAAAGAGACAAGATGGCTGGCAGAAAGACCGGGGCTGGAAGGGAAGGAGGAGGCAGTGAGAGTAATACTACTAGTAGTGAGAAGAACTACTAACTAACTAACTAACTAGTCAGTAGAGTGAGGAGGCGAGCTCAAGCCTGAGCCGGGACTGACCGGCGACGGGCCCCAATTCGTGGATGCCGCACTGAGGCAACCCGTCCACTAATCCCCATTGAGCCACTCACAGGCCTCCATCTGGTTAGTACGGGCGCTGACTCAGTCCTTCCCCCGGTCGGCTTAGTTAAGCTGAAGGGGCTTCTTCGGCTTTTCTCTCGCCTTCTGCCTTTAGCTTCTAGTCTTTTTGGCTCGGATTTTAAGGTTTTCCTTCCCATCTTCCGCTATCCGTTCTGTTCTCGGAGTCGGGGTGCCGGAGTCAAGTAGGTCAAAAGGATAAAAAAAGGGTTGGCTCCAGTGGCGTTTTCCCTTGTACCCTGGATCCGCAAGGCTGGGTCGACGTCGATTTTGCTGCTGACGGTTTGCTTAGTAGTATTATTAGCAAGTAACCAACACGAGGTACTATCCAGCATCCGTCCAGTGCTACTGTAAATTGCATTGCCCCTCCTGGACGACGGAGCAGGGTGCTGCTTATCAATCCGGAAAGGACCATCTTGCCTCTTTCAGTATTCTCTTGCGCGGAATATCCGCCGTCATAATGTTAATGCAACATTTATCCAGTACTAGTATTGCTTCCGCTTAGCCAGCTCGGATCTGAACCGATGATCACTTTCTCAATGCAATAATTCATGATTGCTGCTCTGGGAGAGAAGGCTGCGTAGATTATAATACTACTAGTAGTCATACTAAGCACACTAATGCAATGTATCTCCATGGGAATTGGATGTGCCTTGCGCTCAGGGCAGCAGGGTTGATGTGGTAATCTGTGGTTGCATTGAAAGAGTAGTAGTCATCTAAATATATACTCTCGGGAGGAGTTGTCTCAGCCGCATGAGGACTCCAAAGGGTCGGAGGATACTACTAAGCTGACGGAGACTACTAGTAAGCATCACTATTAGATTCTGTTGACTGGAGATAGAATGTTCTCCTTAGCAAAAGTAAAATAATATTATAATTATTAGCCAACATCAAAAGTTGTTCTCCATAGCAGCTGCATATTTCGGAGCCTCTAGTCATGTATTTCAGCTGACCGCTTACTTTTATAAGACATTCTGCCGCAAAAATATATGCAAGTACAACAGGCAGTTGAAGCAATGCTTGAAAATACAGATAAATGTGCTGTTCCTGCAGACGTAGATAATCATCAATCGCATTAGTCAAAAGCACCCTTATAGGTTTGAAGGCTTTCCAGCTTGCTTCTTTAGAGCAACAGTAACAATCATGAAACTGCAGGAAGAACTAGCACACCGCCTACCGACCGACATCCATCATTGTTTACTCTTGTTCCCATCGTCCACTCTTCCCCCCCCCCACCTCTCACTTCCACTGTCCAGCATCTTCAATTCCCTTGGCAACCTTCCGGGCTCCATCTTCCACGCCGCTGCCCACACTCCCCAGTGCATCGCCAACAGGCTTCCCTGCGCTCCCCGTGGCGCCGGTGATGGTATCGCCGATACCTCGCCCCGCGGCGCCTGTCACCCCGCCAACAGTGCGAGAGACGCCGCCGACCGCGTTGCCGAGGGTCGATGTGACGAATTTGGCCGCGCCAGTCACTCCGGAATCCTGATTTCCAATAGGCATGTTCACTGCGGTCTGCTAGATATTCCAACTGGTGATGGTTTTATCTGCCGTACGCAGAATCTGACAAGTATCTGCTGGTGGAGCTTATGGCTCAGTAATCAATCTCTACGTGAGTGGGTCTGACTACATACCTCAGAAGCTGTCACGTTCAGATGGGCAGCAACTCGCAATTATGGGCAGCAACTCACAATTATGTGCATCTATGTCCGGATATGCCAGATGGCATCGCGAAGATATACTGTCTAACTAGTCTAACTGCTAACCCTGCTAACTAACCTAGGTGCAGTGACCCATGACGTCAGTGGAGTCTCGGATGCGCTGCTGTTTCCATTCCTTCCCGCGTGCTTTCTGGACGCGCGTCCACGACCCATCCCACAGACATTGGACTCTTGAACAAACCAGAAGCACAAAAAGGGATCAAACGAACAGCTTACACTTCTAGGGCAGTCTGCCACTCTTCGTGGTGGAACATACTCCAAGAAGCATAGTACGACGAAGTGGGAATTGAAGACGCCTCCGTCGACCCGCCGCATAATACTTGTTTACCGAGCCATTTCGAGGATCTGCAGCACACCAGCTCTGTCCGGCAGGTTCCCTTTTTCTGCCAAGACGTCGGTCAAAGTCATATCGGCAATCTTGTGCAACTGCTCGTCACTGGTCACGTTGACCTCGGACAGCCGGGATGGCATCCCCAGGAGTTGCACAAATCGTAACATAGCGTCAGCGGCTTCAGTCTCTTGGAACCCCAACACCGAGTTGAAGATGTCGAGGATTATCTCCTGGGCAGCCGTGGTTTGAGGCTTGGTGTATCGCAACGTCGCGGGTAAGATGATGCAACTCTACACAAAACGTGAAAGGTTAGTCGACTGCCTGCCCACAATTGGTGGCTTTCTCGGATTTAGTTACCGTTACTCCTGAACATGCGTAGAACAGTTAGTGGCTTTCTACTTTCCGCAGCTTGAAGTGGTTTCGGGATCACTTACCATGCTGCACACCAGCGACACTTCCCTGTTGTGCAGAGTTCGGTGGTTAGTAGTCTTTATCGCAGTACAGTCAATGTAGATGCGCAACCAAAGAGCAGGCTCACGAGTTGATGGCCGATCGCATGGCTTGGCCCCATATGAATCTTCCATTGAATGAAGGGTAGAAGAGCGTCTCGTGAGCCGCGCTGACATTCCGAAATGCCTTTAAGCAATTCCTCTTCATCATGCTTTTCCTGACCGGTGTGATAATCCTTGAGACCCCGGATCAGGATTGGCAGCGCTTTCTTGATGTGCTCCGTGGCTTCCTCGTGGCACTCAGGGTTGCACAGTGTCTCCACGAAATGATCCACAGCCCGCACACCCGACGCCAGCCACAGGTGCGAGGGCATGGTACTGGCGATCCGCGGGTCCATCAGGATCAAGCTCGGGGATCCCTCGGGATGCACAAAGTGCTGTTTCTTGCCCTGAGCATTGGTGCCGCTGGCATAGTGGTTCCACTCCCCGGCGCTGAGACTGGTCGGCACGCAGATGAGCTTGGTGGTGGGTGCTTTGATCCCGTCGGGGCCAGCCAGACCGTAAACCTGATCGACCAGGGCTTCCATATCGTCAGTGCCGAAGCCGGCTGGGAGAGTCGCACTGAGCATGACGGCGATCTTGCATGCGTCGGAGTAGGAACCGGACCCGATAGAGATGACGGCCTGAGTGCCGTGTGACTGAATGGTATGGGCAATATCCATGATGTCCCGGTACGGGGAGTGACTTCCCACTCCCGTTTTCTTTTGTAGCACACAATGGGATAGCCGGGCCTCCAAGTCTTTGATCATAGATGTTTTGGTGTCGAGGGTCGTGCTCACGACTAGTAGGATGCGAGACGCTCCCCATTCCTCCAAGGCGGCCGGAATATCATCCAGGTAGGAGGCCTCAAAAATGGCATCGTGGCCCTCGCGACCGTCTAGGTCGAGTTGCTTGATCCTCTGCCGCATGGTCTGGGCGCGTGAACTTGGTTGAAGAGGTGGTCGACGAATTGATTCGATCCGGGAACGAGCAGCACGACGGCAAGAGCTTGGATAGGTACTAATTCTGACACGTCTGGATGAACATAAACCGGATGATACGCGGGGTACAAGTAACCGGCAATTTCGCGTGTGCAGCCGCTAGTCTAGTAGACAGTCAGACTGGACTGAACTAATCCATACGGGGTTACTAACGATGGATGCTCCCGGGAGGCCAAGCCTCAAGGTATCGATCGGAGACACTGGTTGGAGGTACTGGTACAACACATGGCCGTAGTGCAAATTGATGCACGCTTAGAAAAGATGCCCCACTGTCTCAGGTTTCAGGCTTCAGGGCTCAGCAATCCTGGAAACCGCAAGATGATGCGGTGCATGCCGGATGGCAAATGCATCACAATCCTCATCGCTTATCGGACCGCCTTTGCCGATAAGGACCGACTGGGAATAACATCATAACATCACCCCTACCACCGCCAGTGAACGCTCCAATGAGCGCCTCCAAGTACCACGAATGAGTGGGAAGACAGCCTGATCTTAGCCCAATGTCTAGACCCTGAATCTGGTGGATAAGAAGCCTGCAGATTTCTAAGCATTCTAAGCACCGGATGGATCTGGGGAAGAAAGTGGTCACGGTGACGTCTCCGTCCGCAACGTCATGGTTACGTGCCAGACAGCCAATCCGACAACCCCCATTACAGAGGATGTTTGACTGGCTCGCAGAACTGGGAAGCGCTTCGATGATCATATATCGTCTATACATAATTGTAGGCTCACCCCACCGGTCGCTGGAATTCTTCTGTTGCCATCTATTAGCTCTTATCGAATTCCCTACCACTGGCTTTATTTTCAGCAACCCCACAGTATCACCATGGCCACGGTCATTGCCGAAGGGCTTGAGAAGGCTCACGAAGCCGTTAAGACGGCTTCATCCAAGAACAAGAAGACGGTCGACTTGGAGCGCGACCTGGTCGATGTCACCACTGAGCAGCGTCAGACCACCGACCACGGCGTGCCCATTAGCAATACCGACAATTGGCTGCGGTCAGTCGACGACCGTCGCACAGGTCCATCGTTGCTAGAGGATCAGATTGCGCGCGAGAAGGTACTTCCACATGCCTGCGCTGATTATCGTGGAGAGGTATGCAGTGGCTGATCGTATCCTAGATTCACCGATTCGACCACGAGCGGATTCCCGAGCGTGTCGTCCATGCCCGTGGAACCGGCGCTTTTGGAAACTTTAAGCTACTCGAAAGCTGTGAGGACGTGACATATGCCAAGGTCCTAACCGACACATCGCGGAATACACCGGTCTTCGTCCGCTTTTCCACCGTGCAGGGCAGCAAGGGAAGCGCCGACACGGTGCGTGATGTTCGTGGATTCGCAACCAAATTTTACACAGACGAGGGTAATTGGGACTTGGTTGGAAACAACATCCCGGTTTTCTTCATCCAGGACGCTATCAAGTTCACTGATTTCGGTACGTCCATCCCAATCCATTTTCTTATCCCTGACTTGACTAACTGGCGCAGTCCACGCTGTGAAGCCTGAGCCCCATAATGAGGTCCCTCAGGCGCAGACCGCGCACAACAACTTCTGGGACTTTTGCTATTTGCACCCAGAAGCCACTCACATGTTCATGTGGGCCATGTCGGACCGCGCCATTCCCCGGTCCTATCGGATGATGCAAGGGTTTGGTGTCAACACTTTTTCGCTTATCAATAAGGAGGGCAAGCGCCACTTTGTCAAGTTCATTTGGACGCCTCACCTAGGCGTGCATTCATTCGTCTGGGATGAAGCTCTGAAACTGGCGGGTCAAGACCCGGATTTCCATCGCAAGGACTTGATGGAGGCCATTGACAACGGCGCATATCCGAAATGGGACCTGTCTATCCAAACCATCCCTGAAGAGAAACAGGATGACTTTGAGTTCGACATTCTCGATGCGACCAAGATCTGGCCAGAGGATCTGGTCCCTCCCCGCACCATTGGTGTGTTGGAACTCAACCGCAACGTGGACGAATTCTTCCCACAGACAGAGCAGGTTGCATTCTGTACATCACACATTGTTCCCGGTATCGACTTCTCCGATGACCCTCTTCTTCAGGGCCGTAACTTCTCCTATTTCGACACCCAGATTAGCCGTCTCGGCATCAATTGGGAGGAGTTGCCCATCAACCGCCCCGTCTGCCCCGTGCTGAACCACAACCGCGACGGTGCCATGAAACACCGCATCACTAAGGGTACCGTCAACTACTGGCCCAACCGCTTCGAGGCGGCAAAGCCGGACGAGCCTGCTCCCCAGGGTGGCGGCTTCGAGTCATACCCCGAGCCGGTACAAGGCCGCAAGAGGCGCGCGTTGAGCCCCAAGTTCCGCGAGCATCATTCCCAGGCCCAACTCTTTTACAACTCCATGTCGGAGCACGAGAAGCTGCACATTGTCAAGGCTTTTGGGTTCGAGCTCGACCACTGCGATGACCCTATCGTCTACGAGCGCCTGGCCGGCAAGCGTCTGGCGGAGATCGACCTGACCCTAGCGCAGCAGGTGGCGGAAGTCGTGGGCGCCCCGATTCCTCAAAAGGCCCTCATGGCCAACCACGGCCGGAGGACGATTCATGTTTCCCAGACCGAATTTCCCCCCAAGTCTCCGACCATCGCCAGTCGGCGCATTGCTATCATAATTGGTGACGGATACGACCCGGTGGCCTTCAAGGGCATTCAGACCGCTGTGAAGGTGGCGGGTGCTCTGCCGTTTGTCATCGGCACCAAACGGTCGCCCATCTATGCCGACGGGGAATCGAAGGAGACATCGCAGGGCATCATCGCCGACCACCAGTATGACGGACAGCGATCAACCATGTTTGATGCCACGTTCATTCCCGGTGGCCCGCATGTGGAGACGCTCCGGAAGAACGGGCAGATGCGGTACTGGATCGCCGAGACATTTGGCCACCTGAAGCCACTGGCTGGCACAGGTGAAGCGGCCGAGCTAATCAAGGAGGCGTTGGGTAGTGTGCTAGATGTGCAAGTGGCCACCAGCTCCAAGCCACAGCCCGTGGAATGGTATGGCGTGGTCACGGCCGGTGGCGTGCAGAAGCCGGAGAGCTTCAAGGAAAGCGTGCAGATCGCGAAGGGCGCCAAGGATTTCGTGGGTATATTCTTCTACCAGATTGCGCAGCACCGGAACTACCAGCGCGAGTTGGATGGGCTGAGCTCGACGGTCGCCTGGTAAACAGCCTCAATCCTTAAACTCGGATGAGGGTATAAATTGTAACGATGGGATGGTCCGTGATCATGAGAAATGAGTAATCAACTGTCTGCAAATGTATGTTAGGATAATGACTACTTAATGCACTTATCAGAAAGATTGAAACATACCTCGTAAGAGTAACATCTTACACCACCGAACCATCTTCGCGATGCGTCAAATACATTACAATCAGATGAATTGTATCACGTCGGGCGCCCCTGACTGCTAGTAAGCACTTACCTAGCTAACACAACATGTGTGTAGCAACCCTGCAACAGGGGCTGGGATAGAAGATTCAGGATGCGAATCTTCATACGTATCACAATCGGTTATCATCATTGAAGATTTCGATTCAATGTTATATCTAGTGGTCCGATTTAGTAGATCGCATCCGACACTCCCCACCGGCAACCCAAAGATCAATACGTGTTCAGAGCGTCGCAGATAGATGAATATGCGTCGATAACTTAAGTTGTTATAGTTAGATTACATATCTAACGGTCCACAGTACACAGTCACAACCAAGATCCTCGACCAGAAAGTGGAAACTAATGCCATCCGTCTGAGATACAGATATTTACCCCGCTCTACTAACTCCATATTTTCAATCGGGCGACAGTAAATAGATCGACAATACATTACATCTACAGTGAGGGTATGTTGCACAGTATCGTTCCTTGTGCAACAAAATCTGCAATTCAGGGGGGAAAAGGAAAGAGTGTTCCTGCAGTCAAAGAAAAGAAAAAGGGAAAGGGCAGTGCCAGCCACTCAATTTCGGCTTTATCAGGGAATACGAAGACGCGGAGTTCAAAAAGGTGGGAGGGAGGGTTTCTTTCCCGCATTGAATAAAGAGTCAATCGTGCTGTGTTGATTGGGCGGGGAGATAGAGAGGTAAGAATACTAGGTATGAAGTTGGTTAGTCTCTATTGATTTAGTTGGTTATGGCTAGTTACAAAGTGGTTAGATGGTTAACCGCCAGGCTTGATAAGGCACCCAGTGGAGCCCCCTTGCGTCCAGCAAAAACAAGTTATCGTGTGAGGATGACGAATTCCAACATTGATAAGGAAGGAAGCACAAAGTGCGACGTGGGAAGTAATATAGGAGGTCTACTTATATGGGGAGAGAATAGAATGGGCTGATGGGAGGGGAGGGACTGTTAGTAGTATCCTGTGCCAGTCGAGATTTTGAGTTTGGACCTGAGCAGTTGAGGGTTGAATTATTATTATTATTATTATTATTATTATTATTATTATGCATGGGGGAATCTCTGCCAAGATGAGATTACGAGAAGTGGCGGTGCGAGGAGAAGAGATATTAATTGGAGAAATGGAGAAAAAGAGAGTGAGTGGGAGTGAGAAAGAGACAGAGGGAGTGTGATTCTGACAGGTCTTTTCCACTCTACCCTACTTTTCTTTCCTTTTTCCCTCATATTCTATCCGCATAAGCTAATAGCCCCATGCGTTATCAATCGAGTGTCTATTGGTCCACGCTGCATCCTGTCCACCTGAAACCAGCCCAATCCTGCGCCAGCATCCATTGCCTGTCATCAGAAACCTCACCATCCCCCGTTCGCCCCGTTCCCTGGTTCCTGACCAGCTGGCTATATATAGCATGCCTGTTTTTCAAAATGATCCAACGTATTGAGAAGCCGCCCACTCACAGACCATCGGAGGATCTACTTGACTTAGTGTACTAGTAAGTAGTAGCAGTAGTCTAGTTGGTGTTGTTGTTATTGTTGTCATGTAATGGATCCGGTTCATTCTCCGGGATTCTCTTTGGGGCGGCTAAGACTGAACTGAACTGAACCCGTTGATTGAAGATTCGGTCATCTCGGCCATGAACTAACTAGCAGTATTTGTGAGACACGATGGCAAACTGGATACCCATTAACACTTCTATTTAACCAGGGTGTCCTCCGACTTTTTTCTTCTCTGTCTTGATTCCTTCCATCATTCTTCTATCTTTCTTCTATCATAATAACCAATTGATACCCTTTTCCCTTCTTCAATTTTCTCATCTCTGCAACCATGCGTCTCTTTTACGCCGTGTCTCTTCTGCCTCTGGCTGCCTTCGTCGGCGGTTAGTCTACACTCTTATCTTCCCAGCCAATTCTCCGATACAGTCCTCTAACTTCTCACTAGCCCTTGAGGTCACCTCCCCCAAGAAGGGCGAAGATGTCGATCTCTCCAGCTCCTTCACCGTGACCTGGGATTCCGTCTCGTATGTCCCGTCCCCTCTTTCCCTTATCAGCCCTAAATCACACCACATACTAACCACCATGCACAGGACTGACCCCTCCACCTTCGACCTCTACCTGGTCAACAACGCCGTCTACCCCACTGTAGAGAAGAAGGTCGCCTCTGATGTCGACACCTCAAAGGGATCTTACACCGTGTCCGGCCTGTCCGGCGTCACCGATGGGTATGTTCCTCCACTTCTCTACACTTCATTCACCATCACCACCATACTAATAACGAAAACAGATCCGGCTACCAAATCAACCTCCTCTCCACCTCCTCCACGAACAGCGGTATCCTCGCGCAATCCGAGCAGTTCACCGTCGAGGGTGGTTCCAGCTCCACCACCACCGCCGCCAGCGCCTCCATGACTACCTCCGCCTCTTCTTCTTCCACTTCCTCTACTGGCACTTCTACTGGTACTGATACCTCCTCCACCTCTTCCTCATCCTCCACTGGATCCAGCTCCATCACCACTGCAAGCACCAGCACAAGCTCCACCTCCAGCAGCAGCACCAGCAAACTAACCACTACTACCTCGGGCGCTAACACTCTGTCGACTACAGCCTCCTCGACTCGTTCTGCCTCTGCCTCGGGTACTTCTACTGCCTCTGCCAGCGGTACCGAGACGACTGCCCCCGTCTCCACCGGCGCCGGTATGGCCATTGCTGCGCCCGTGTCTGTTGCTGCAGGCTTGGTGTTGGGTGTTGTGGCTATGCAGCTGTAAACCATTCACCAAAGCTTTTTATTTGTGGATGGCTGAGATGTAGTGCGGTGGGGTGAGGTGGGGGTGAGGATGTGAATGAGTGACGGAGTTTCTCTTCTCGTCTATCACCTAATTGGTGATTTTGAAAGCAATACCGCAGATTTATTGCTTGTATAGATACATACTTTCTAGCCAAGCTAGTTTTTACTTAATGGTCTCTATAGCATATATCCATTACATTACTTTATTTTATCACCGAGGAAGATCCCTGTAGATGGTATCCGTGGTTCGGCATTCTTTCTACAAAGTAGTAAAGTAGGGTTTAAGCTGGATGGAATGGACTAAAATTCGTGGATTGTTGGTTCCGTTCCATGCGACCGGTCGAACCATGTGCGGTGCACGTTAGGCAGCGAGAGAAAGATTGAGAGAAAAAGGACATTCATGGCCCGGCAACTCCTACCGAAGAATAGGCAAGGTAGATAGAATTCCCAATTCAGAACATGTCCGAGAGAGAACTCAATTACTACAATGTGCACCTAGATGTTGATGATCCATGGGTCCCTCGGCGCTGGATGGACCCTTTCGGGAATGACCCCGACAGTCAGACACAACCCAGACCCTGTAGGGCATGGCAAATACCAGAAACCTTAGTAGAAGTTGCTGGAATTGAAAAATACGGGTAGGAAGTTCCGGATGTTGGTCACGGTAATGTTACCGTTTTGTCGGGCAGCACCGAATGGGTTACTGTATTGGGTAAAGACGTCTGAGGGTCGGTGCCACGGACGGACCAGTACAGAATATTTCTCTTTTTGGGGTTGGGTTTGGTTTGCTCGCTTGGATGAATGGATGGATTATTTTTGGGTGAGATTGTGTCTTATGTCTTGGGTTATTTTTGGTGTGTTTTTCTGTGTGTGTCTTGGAGGTATTAGAATATATGGAGTTGTCTAAACTAGTTTGTGTGGATATATTATTATAGACTTGTCTGATTATCTTGTCACGCTGTCTTACTATAGTAAAACTAGTCTAATAAATAGTTACATATTGAAAGTAATAATAATGTACATCATGTCTTAGAAGACATGGATACTAGGACCAATTTCATTTCAATAATGGTCCGTCCTAAGTCAGCTAGCATGCTTGACTACCATAGATATCGACGTCACTATTCCAATATCCCCTGTGTCAGTTTCAAACATTCACCCAAATCCAGCAAGAGTGAAGGTAAAGACTTACAAAGGCTCCTTCATACACCCTCGGCCATCCGCCGCACTATCCACCCAAACACCCACCCTCATCCCCTGGACCGGAAACTCCCCGTACCCCATCTCATCAATTACCGTGACAGACGGGTGATCATCGTCTCGCTGCAGCAGATCCGTCCACTTCTCGCCGGCGTGTTTCCGACCCACGTACATGCGCTTCGTGGCTGGTCCGCCGTTGCTCATGACGCAGGCCAGCCCGGAGGGGTGAGCGGCGTTGCCGTAGCGGATGAAACCTTTCATTTATTAGAGACTGCATCGCAGAGAGGAAGGGACGGACTTACCAATGCAGTTGGGCTGGTCAAAGTAGTCTTGCTGTTCGCCGTAAGCATACCATTTGCGCGCACGCATGAGAATCGGGAGTTGGCCTTCGCAGGCCGGAATTGGAGACTGGCCACCGTCGCAGCTGCCGTAGAGGTCGCCGTAGAAGACACATGGGTTGCCTCCTTGGCGGAGGAGGATTAGGGCGTAGGCGAGGGGTTTGAAGGAGGGTTCGACTATGTTCTGATAGATGTTAGCGCGGTGCTCGTCATCATATACTTAGTGAATGTAGTACTCACCTCCAGCATTTGCCCCGGTTGCTAAGTTGTCACATCAGTTCAGCACTTATCCACATACCATGGCTTCATAGAAGGGGATGTACTCACCGTATCATGATTTGTAACAAACGTCTACACAACACACCTCATTAGTCTTTCCAATTCCACCAAACAAGAGGAAAGATAACTCACCAACGCATTCCCCGGCCTAGCCTCCATCAACGTCCCCTTCAACACCCCCCTCAAATCCGCCCTCCTGGTCCTCGACAATCCTGAGAATCTCTCCACCAGCGGCACATCCACCACCGCAACCCGATACTCCATCTCCTCCAGATACCTCAGCAGCGCCCTC